TTCCACCTCCTGCTGACATAAAAACCCAAACAAATGAGACTTAGAGTGGGTACTAAGTATTCTGATCAGTTTCATTTAGCATGGACACTCTGACAATTTTTTCCCCTTTTTTTTCTTCTTTTTCCTCCTCTTCCCCCATCCCCCCTCTGTGTTATTTATCTGAAAACTGGACCAACCCCTTAAACTCCGGTCATCTGAAGAAGTGGGTTGCACCCATGAAAGCTCATGATCCCATCTACGTGTTTTGTTAGTCTCGAAGGTGCTGCAGGACTATTTGCTATTTAAGTTTTTCCAGTTGCAGGCTAACACGACTCCCCCTTCTGAAACTTTTGTGTCACTCCTCGGCTAAGCAAACATGACAGCATGCTAGATTTCCTGGAAGGGCAGGCAGGGGGCCTAAAAAAGCTCCTGGTGGAGTGAACAGCGAGGGTTGCCAAGCAAAATGGCTGCTTGCCAAAAGACCTAGGGGAATGCTTTCCCTGGGTCTTAGTGCTCAACTGTTCCCCTTTTCCTATACCTGCACTCACTCTTAAAGGGGACATGCTTTTAATGCTGTTTTATCTTAATTTTTTTTTTTTTGCGCTCAACAATTTTGGTCCCCCCACCCTTTTTTTCCCCCTTCAACAAAATTTTTTCCCGGTGTTTTTTTTTTTGGGGGGGGAGGGCATGTTCGGTATTTTTTGTTAAACCATCTGGCAACCCTGTGCACAGTGAGAAGACGGCGTGCCCCCACCCCTGAGCCAGGGAACGTGCCAAGAGTGGTCAGAAATGCTCACTTTCCGAAGGGGCTTCTCCATTTGTGCACTCTGGTCGCTTGGTGTGTAGAGGGCGTCCATTGGAAACCCTAAGCACCCAGGGCTGTGGCCAGCACTTTCAGACGTGGTGGCCGACAGCCCCTGCTTCCAAACTCAGCCACCCGCAGCTGCCCCAGGAAACATTTCCTCTGCGGACAAAAGGCCATTGGCTCAGGGCCCTCAACGAGCAGAGTGCGGGGGTAAGGGGAGCGCATGTAGGGAGAGCCAAGGAGTCTGTGTCCTGAGCCCAGTCATGGCGTTCCGCTGTGGCCGGAGCCCCCGTGAATGCCGCAGGGAACCTTGTGTCGTACGGACGCTGCATGGACGCCTCATCGTCCCTTTGCAGCTGCAGGAACAACTCGATGGCCAGATGTGACGTGCGCGCGAGACCGACCAGCATTTTCCCCAACAGCGGGGGAGCTGCTTCCCGAGGAGGCAGAGGGCAGGGCCTGGCCGCCGCTGGCGCCAAATGCGGACGGAGGCACAGGGGTGGTGGGCATGCTGCGCGAAGCACCACAGGGCATCAAGATGGGACCCAGGATGCCCTGCGCCTCCCCACACGTCTCTGCGGCAGAAGAGAAAGAGGCACTGCGCAGAATGCGCCGCTCCCAAAGGCACCGCAAGTGTTGCAAGTGTGGCCACGCCACGGCACTGGCAGCTGCCTGTGTGGACACCCAACCGCGTTTTCATGGCTGCTCCCCGTGAGTAGCGCTGTAACTGCCTGAGCTTTGCATCTGCCAGTGTAGACAGGGCCTGAGCCTTGGAAAGGGCACAGAGAAGGACAAGCAAAATGATTAGGAGTAGGGAGCAGCTTCCCTGTGAGGAGAGCTTCGAAAGACTGGGACTGTTCGGCCTGGATACAGGATCTAGAACAGGGGTGGCCAACCCGTGGCTCGCGAGCTGCACGCGGCTCTTCAAAGAAAAAAATTGCAGCTTCTGCACTTGCACCCGCAGCTCCCGGCTCTGAAAGGGGCAGCGTGTTTCTGTCTGAAAGAGACAGAGCCGGAGCTGTGATGTCCCGTGCAGACTTCAAAATGTCTGCTCTTAAAAGGGCGGCGGCCAGGGCTTTTTTTTTTTTCACTCAATAACTTTTTTCCCTTGGCTCTTCATGCTGTATCCTCCACTATTTTGGCTCTTTCTCTGTAACAGGTTGACCACCCCTGGTCTAGAAACAGCTGGGACAAAGTCAAAAGGGAAGTGTTAATTGCTCTTTCAGATAACACAAAAACCAGGCATCACCCAATGAAATCAACAGGCAGCAGGTTTAAAGCAAACAAAGGAAGCATTTCTTCACACACCGCACACAGTCAACCTGTGGAACTCCTTTCCAGGGGATGCTGTGAAAGCCAAAAGCATAACTGGGTTCAAAAAAGCATTGGGTAAGTTCATGGAGGGTAGATCCATCCGCGGCCATTAGTCAAGATGGTCAGCGACACCATCTCACGCTTGGGGTACAAAGCTGGGACTGGGTAACGGGAGATGGGTGACTCAGGATATTGGGCCAGATGAACAAGGTTAGTTGATATAGGTGAGAGGATTATTCCAGGAGTGGGTGGGTGAAATTCTGTGGCCTGCATTATGCAGGGGGTCAGACTAGATGATCATGGTGGTCCCTTCTGTCCTTAAAGTCTATGAGTTGGGTGTTGGAGGTTCCAGCAAGGAGGGGTGGGTAGATTTGGATGGACTGGAGCAGGGTGTGTCCAACTGACTCCCCGAGGTGCAGACGTAGGCCTGGGCACCTCGTACAATGTAAATTGCCATGACTACGGCGCAAAGGGGTGTGAAGAATCCACGCCCTGATGCCATATCTGTGTCCCGTGGTGCGGCTGTCGCTGGGTTAATGGGATAATGCTGCTGCTTTCTATGTGGCTCTGGGTGGTGGTGTCCTGCAGCCAAGGAAAAGCTCAGCCGTTCGCTGTGGGCTGTATGTATGCAATGGGGGTGATTCCACCGTAGCTAGACTGCAGCGTAGGCACAGTCAGACTGGAAATACGGCTCACGTGGAGAAGAGGGAGGGCAGTGAACCGTCAGGACAGCTGACCAAAGTCGTGATGGATTCTCTGTGCTTGCTATTTTTAATCAAGACCAGATGTTTTTTCTTAAAAGTTCTGGTTCCCAGAGAAATGATCTGGGGGAAGTTCTGGCCTCTGTTAGATCAGGCTTGGGGGTTCTCAAACTGGGAGTGGCAACCCCTCAGGTTATTACGGGGGCCTTGCAAGCTGTCAGTGCCTGTGCATACCGGGGCTCCGGCTGACACTGCCATATGCAGGGCTGACAGCCCGAGCCCTTCAGAGCTGGGTGGCTGGCGAGCAGCGGCTGCTGGCCAGGTGCTCGGCTCTGACGGCAGTGCTGCACCCAGCAGCAATACACAAGGAAGAATGTCATCACTCAGTGCCCCTGTTCTCCAGAAGGAGCACGGGAAAACCAGCAAGGGAGGAATTAGGGGCATCTGGAAATCCTGTTAGTCTGCCAGGGTCAGCAGTAAATGGATCAGCCTGCCGTTGGCATCCTCAGCAAATGTAGGATTAGCTCAATGACATCCTCACTGTCATCAGACCTGCTCTCTCTCCGTCCCATCTCCCCCCCCTCATGTACCTTTTGTGCCTCTCTCCTCCCTGTGTGATAGCCCTCTGTGTTCTTAAATCTTGAGTTAGGGCAGAGTTTGGGGTTGTAGACTGACCTTCTTCCCCATGCCGCCTTATAGTTGAACCCCACCCCCAAGTTTAGGAGACAGCCTTATATTCCAAAATCTCTGTGCTGGGATAGTCTTGCAGACGTCCGTTTGGGAGTGTACCCCTGTAGTACAGTGTTACGTCAAACCTGAAGCCACTATCATTTGGGATAATTGTATAGTTTTTCTGTATCTGAGTTTGGGACAGCCCTAGAGCCCTGAATTTCAGAGTCGAGTTGGTGCTTTAGAAGGGTAACGTCTCCAGCTTCGGCGGGTATTAAGAGGAATCTGCAGATTCGCAAAAGCCCGGAGACTGCCAATCTAAGAAGCAGAGAGAGCTCCGAGTCTGGTACAACAGCAATTCCCGACTGCCGATGCACGGACCGGCGCCGGGTGGCGAACTGCTGGCTGCTGGGCCCCCGCGGCTGCCAGAGCTGAAGCCGGCTGCTGTGCGGAGGTTCAGGGGGCTGGAGGACATATCTTGGTGGACATGTAAGACATTATTTGCATATTCATGATGTGCATAATAACTATGCGAATATGCAAATAGAATGTTGCCGGTCCGCCCAAAGGTTGTGACTTGGTCGGCCGGTCTGCGGTATAAAAAAGGGTTTGGAAACACGGTGATACAAGGCGCGGAAGGCGATGTGAGGGGAGGTCACACCGGATTGTCGGGCAGCTGTGCTGTGGGTTTTGTGGCGCGTCGCTGGGCTCTGGGATGATCACACACTGCAGTGTGCTACTGCACAGGTTTGTGCCTCTGGGGTAGAGGCCAGCTGCCCCCATGAATCCCATTTTCATACGGTGTCCTCTGCTAATCCCTGGCGAGGATTATAGTGACTCGGGAACGGTAACAAATCCAGACTCCCTCACTGGCTGCTGCAAGAGATTACCAGGTAAACAGAGAAGGCAACACACGCTGTCCCTGAGATTAGTTTCCTCTCACGCACTTTTGGCAGAAGACCCAGGGAAAACCAGGCCGTCTGCATTGCTCTGCACTCTGCTCTGGGGTAAGTCCTGTTACCGAGAGGCCGGAGGGAGCGTGGCGAAGAGGAACTGAGCAGGGGGCGACAGCGCTGGGGCGGGGGTGGTACCCTGTGGGATTTGCTCTAGGGCCCCCTCTGGCGTTGGGTTGGGTGTCGAGGTTGTGGGTGAAGGGACAGCAGGAACCCTGCCTGGACAGTAGCCCAGGTGAGAGACCCCCACTGAGAATGGGTCAGAGACCCGTGGCCCCTAATTGCACAGCCCCTGCGATCCTGTCTGGCACTTTTTCCTTGGGCAGGCCTGGGGGGCGTCTCTCTGTGCTGGGCCCCAATTTCCCGCTGGCATCGGCTCCTGGCTGCTCCGGCCCCAGCTCCGCTCTGCTCCTGCTCTGCCCCCAGCCCTCTGGGCTGTTTCTCTGGCCCCTCTGGCTGGCCCGGTCCTGCCCCCAGCTCCGCTCAGGCCCCTGCTGTGTCCCTAGTCCTGCCCTCTCTGACACCGGCCACTGCAGCTCACACAGACGGTGCCCTCCCAGCCTCCTCCCTCCCTCATTGGCCTGCCCTCCCTGCCAATCAGGCTGACCTGGAGTCTTGGCCTCTCCCAGTTGTTCCTGGGAGCTGTCCCGATTTTTCATCATCCCTTCCCTTTCCTTTTGGTACTGGAGGGTTAGCCAGCCAACCCCCCCACCGAGCTTAGTAAGGGGTCAACAGTCCCCTTACACATGCGTGTGCAAATGAGTGCACCAAAACACGCACAGGACCGTGTCCCTCCTTTGCTTGTGCAATTGCTCCACCAATGGTCACTTGAACGGGCAAATCATCGACCTCTGGGGACTCTGTTTCCCCGGACAACCAGCTTCCTATGGGACCCTCGAATGTTAACCCCCCTCTGAACTGCAGTGCCCCCTGCTCTCGCTAGCAGGGAGTGCATCCGTACAGCCGGTCAGCACCTAGCATGCCTTTGGGCTCAGCATCGGTAATCGTTGTGTATGTCTCTGATAAAGTGCACACCTTGATCATTTACCTGCAGTTTATCCTGCATATTTGACCATCTCACCTGCTCGCTGCCCCCAGCCTGTCCCTGCTGGGTCTAACTCACATTCCAAACCACGGAGCGCCTGCATTTTGTTGAAGCATTATGGCAGGGAAATCTTTCATCCCCCGGTGCAAATCCAACCCTCCATCACCCATCTTCTACTCTCTGAACCACTGGCCACTCGGTGCCATATTCATTCCTGCCCCAGGGACGAGGTGCCTACATTCCAGTATCTCCTGCTCCTGCTTGGCTTTGTGCCAGGACGGGTGGGAGGAGAGATTTCAGGCTTTCCTGGGGGAAGTAGAATTCACTTCTAGTCCTAAAAAGTGACTTATCCACACGCATTGGGACTATGTTGTGCAGCTTTCTCTGGACTTTGCCACTAGTGAGGGACGTGACGACCCCCAAAATCCTGGGGGTTAAATCACTCTGCCACAAAACGCTGTTGTGTGTTTTCTCTACCATCCCGTTCACCCAGTGGTTCTCCAGAAGAAACTGTGATTGCTGGGTTTGGGTTTGGGAAAGCAATTGTTTCTGTATTTTGGGCCGCCCTAAACACTCGGCTACCATGTAACCAATAATAGCAAAGTGTCATCTATAATACAAATACCAAATCTGTGCTTGTACTTTTGGTTGGGGACAAGCATTCCTTGCACACCTTAGTTGTGCAATTGAATGTGCATTTTTGCACTCTGCACACGTTTACCCCAGTGGCAATCACAGAACTGTTCTTCAGGTACCTCAATGTGGGTTTACGGTAAACAGATTTCTGAGCACGTCAAAGCTCTTGTGCTAAGCCAGGGGTGGCCAAGAAAATTTAATAACGAGAGCTGAAATAGTGTTGGAAAAAATGCAAAGAGCTGCACCAGAATTGTCAAGCAAAAAAAAAAAAAAAAAAAGAGGCTACCCCTTTAAGAAACAAGCTTAGGCTTTTTGGCTCCCGTCGATGGCCGCCATTGGGCGCCATTTTGAATCACTGCCCCGGTTAGCACAGCGGAGCCAGGAGGAGGATGGGTGGGGGCCATTGGAGGGATGCAAGAGTGGCTTCACAAGCTGCACTTTTTGGGGAGAAGAGCCATATGCAGCTCGTGACCTGCGGGTTGCCCACCCCTGTGCTAAGCGAAGGGAGATGGTGAGCTTCCAACCCCAGTGAGATGGGCGAATTTTCAGCCTGCTGAGGCAGAGGGCGGTGGTAGTGCATGGTTCTTCAACACTTAGCCAGTCGGCTATCTCCGTTGATAGACAATGCTGATACTTTGTGTGGAAAGCCTCCAATTTTGTCCGGTCTGTGCAGCGTAGATAGTGTCTGTGTTTCACAGTTGTACAATAGTATGGGAAGGATACCGCTTGAATAAATCCTCAACTTGGTTGTCGTACTAAGATGATGGTGATTCCATATTCATTGTAAATGGCCCATGGCAGATGATGCACTGCCAATCTGATGGGGAACCTGGTTCACATGGGATAAATCAACAGAAGGGTTGTGAGCAAGACACGAGAAGTCATTCTTCAGCTCTACTCTGCGCTGATCAGGCCTCAGTTGGAGTCTTGAGTCCAGTTCTGGGCACCACGTTTCAAGAAAGATGTGGAGAAATTGGAGAGGGTCCAGAGAAGAGCAACAAAAATGATGAAAGGTGTAGAGAACATGAGCTCTGAGGGAAGGCTGAAGGAATTGGGCTTGTTTTGTTTGGAGAGGAGAAGACCGAGAGGGTCATTATAACAGTTTTCAGGTATCTAAAAGGGTGTCACAAGGAGGAGGGAGAAAAATTGTTCTCCTTGGCCTGTGAAGATAGAACAAGAAGCAATGGACTTAAATTGCTGCAAAGGAGGTTTAGGTTGGACATTAAGAAAAATTTCCTACCTGTCAGGTTGGTTAAGCACTGGAATAAATTGCCCTAGGAAGGTTGTGGAGTCTCCATTGTTGGAGATATTTAAGAGCAGGTTAGACAGACACCTGTCTGGGATGATGTAGACTGTGATTGGTCCTACCATGAGGGCAGGGGACCGGACTTAATGACCTTGCGAGGTCCCTTCCAGTCCTAGTGTTCTATGATTCTATGAAATTGTCTCTGGCTTCCTACTGTGTATGTGTGGATTAAGGAGCTCCAGATAGCTCTTAAAATAGTACTTCCTGTTCCACATGCGACAGAACACGAACTAGAGTGCATGGCAGAGGAAATGCCCTGTTTTTCTGAGATGCTTCTAAATCAGCACAGGTGACCTGGCCTCCTTCTTTGGCAAACAGGTAAAATTACAACCAAAGGCTGCTGCTGGGAGGAGGAAAAGAATTTACTCCCAGATTCAGCCTTTCTGTGGAGTTCCTGGACTGCCAGGCACAGCGAGTGACTTGCAGGCATTTGGAAATATTGCATAGCGGCAAGTATTGGGAAGTAGGGCATGTCTGAATGAGCAAAAGGTCCAAGGAGATGGGCGTATATATCCTGAACACCAGAGGCTCCTGTGGACGTAGGAGATACAACTAGGAACTGGTGCACAGAGAAGAATTAGCCATTTTACTGTGCAATGCCCTAAAGATGAACAAACAATGTGCTGCTGGTACCAAAAATACCTGCTGTATTCTCTGGTGTTAATAGGAGTCTCGCACATCACACAGTAATTATTCCATGCCACCATGAATCAGATTACCCTGCACTGGAGAAAATGTAGGTTAAATATTAGCAATGAGTAGAGTACGCTGCCCTGTATCATCCATCTATCCATCCACCCCCACACCCACCCATCCATCCATCCATCCATCCATCCATCCATCCATCCATCCATCCCTTCTTCTGTCTGTCCATCCATTCCCACACCCATCGTCCATCCGTCCATCCATCCATCCCCACCCATTCCCATACTCATCCAGCCATCCATCTACCTCCACACCCTCCATCCATCCATCCATCCATCCCCACACTCATCTCTCCATCCCTCCTTCTGTATGTCCATCCATCCCCACACTCACCATTCATCCATCCATCCCCACCCATTCCCATACTCATCCAGCCATCCATCTACCTCCACGCCCTCCATCCATCCATCCATCCATCCATTCCTCCTTCCAATCATCCATCTATCCCATTCCCACACTCACCAACCATCCCTCCTTCCATCCGTCCATCCATACCCACACCCACCATTCATCCATCCATCCATCCCCACACCCTCCATCCATCCATCCCTCCTTCCAATCATCCATCCATCCCATTCCCACACCCACCATCCATCCATCCATTCCCTCCCTGCAGGCCCCCTCCCCCAGTATATCTGCAGACCCTGGTACCTGTGCACCTCCCCTAAGTTACAAGAAGACCCTGTTCTTTCTCTTCCATCTCTGGCAGCCAGAGGCAGTCCTGGGGGTGTTTTTTCTGAGTGAATGTGTGAGAACAGGGTATTACTGGGGGACAGTCTGGATGACATGTGTGACTTTCGCTCGGATTGCGACCAGGCTAGTTCTCAGTCTCAGCTCCGCCGGAAGCAGGATCCCCCTTCTTGGCCTAGTTCCCGGGGAAGGTTCCATCTCTTTCATTCACCTCCTGCTTGCCAGTGTTATTGCTCCTTGGAATGCAGCTTTCATGGGAGATCGGAGGAGACCAGGACCAGTGCCAGTCAGGACAGCAGCCTTGAGTTGGTTTCTGTGCTCAATGGGAGCCGGCATGGAGAGTGGCATGCCAGGGTGCTGTGTCCCCAGTGATCTGTGTGGCCATGTTCTCAACCAAGAGGGGCTTCCTCGGGGCATGGCTTCCTTCCTGGCTAGAGGAGTCTGGCTTAGATGAGGCCAGGGCAACATTGGATATGACCAGGGGCATTCGCTTGGATACCACCATTGGTAGCAATGGGCTGGCATCTCCACTGGGGTGTCTGAGGACAGGGCAGGACCTAGCCGTGGGACCTGAAGGCTGTGAGCGGATTTCCCAACCTGCAGGTGAACGGAAGGGATTTGTATGGGGGACGAGGGCCCAGCAAGTCACTTCTTCCTCCCCCCAGCTTGACCCAGCTGCTGTCCGCCGGGCGCTGGCTTTAGAGAGGCCGTTCGACAGCTTCACAGAACCCCAGGGCTGGCAGAGACCTCAGGAGGCATCGAGTCCAGCCCCCTGCCCAAGGCAGGACCAACCCAACTCCATCAGCCCAGCCAGTGCTGTGTCAAGCCAGGATTTAAACACCTCTAGGGATGGAGATTCCACCCCCTCCCTAGGGAACCCAGCCCAGTGCTTCTCCACCTCCATTTCCTTATATCCGTTATACCTAAACGTCCCCACTGCAACTTGAGACCATTCCTCCTTGTTCTGCATCCGTCACTACTCTGAACAGCCTCTCTCCAGCCTCTTTGGAACCCCCCTTCAGGGAGTTGAAGGCTGCTCTCAAATCCCTCCCGTCCCCACTCTTCTCTCCTGCAGACTAAATACACCCAAATCCCTCACCCTCTCCTTGTAGGTCATGTGCTCCAGTCCCCCGATCATTTTTTTTGTCCTCCGCTGGACCCTCTCCAATACGTCCACATCCTTTCTGTACTGAGGGGCCCAGAACTGGACACAAAACTCCAGATGTGGCCTCACCAGAGCTGAATAAAGGGGAATAATCACTTCTCTAGATCTGCTGGCAATGCTCCTCCTAATGCAACCTAATATGTCGTTAGTCTTCTTGGCTACAAGGGCGCCCTGTTGACTCATATCCAACTTCTCATCCACTGGAATCCCCAGGTCCTTTTCTGCAGAACTGCTACTTAGCCAGTCGGTCACCAGCCTGTAACAATACTTGGGATTCTTCCATCCCAAGTGCAGGACTCTACACTTGTCCTTGTTGAACCTCATCAGATTTCTTTTGGCCCAATCATCTAATCTGCCTGGGTCACTCTGGACCCTATTCCTGCCCTCCCTATTCCTACCCTTGGGGACAGCTGACATTACGCAGATGGACAGCTGCCTGATATATGCTTCCTGCTGCCACGTCAGCCAGTGCCGGGTCCCCATCCCCTTCTCCTGGCAGCTTCATGTCATCACCAATGGGCCTCTCTAGAGAGAGGTGATGATACAAATCTCCCTTCCGCAGGTGACAGGATGCTTGGCTGGATCGAGAGGGTGGTACCTCAGCCTCCTGGCACCCCTCACCAGGCAGCCCTAGTGGAGAAGGGGGAGAGAAAAGCAGAGCCCAGGGCGATCGATGGAGCAGCCAGGCCTGGCGAGGCAGAGCAGGTGAGAGGGGAGCAGGCAGGGGAGATGGGGTGGCATAGCTGAGGGGCTGGCTGCTGCTGGGTGGGGCACACAAGGTTTGCTACTCATGTGGATCCCGCGAGACGCCCTCTCACTCGTGAGAGAGCAGGGTTCCACTCAAGCTACACCCATCCCAACCCACAGCCATGCAGGTTTTGTGGATAAGACTCTTCTTGGCGGCTGGCCGAGACACGGACTATTTATCAGGGTCGAAAAGACGTATCCCAGCCAGCAGCGTGAGTGGGCTTGCACCTTGCGTGCCAGCAGCGTAACGCCCTGCTCAAGCCGAGCTTTGTTCACCCGGGCAGTTTGCCTAGCACTGTTCGAGATGGCCCCCACTTTGTGTTCATGCATGCGAGTGAGGAAGTGAAACTGACTAGAAACAAAGAGCCCCCTGAGTCTCCCGTTGGAACCACGTGGGAGACATTTACGCCCACTGATCTGAAGGCCTCCGTGGTCCCAAGCACAGCAGATAGATCCATCTGTAACCGAAGGTGGACTGGGACCCGACTGTTTTTCATTCTCCGGATGGTAGGAAAGGAGCCTAGAGGGGAAGTAATGTCTGTTTGAATTCAGTTCTGATCATCTTGGGGTGACTGAGAAGCACAGGGATGGATGTTGTGACACGTGACTTTTCACCTGAAACTTTTCCTTTCCTCCCTAAAGCTGCCCAAAGGGAACCTCACATGTCCTGGGGAATCTCCCGCCTGCGGTCAGACAGCAGGTGAGTTTCTGAAAGTGACGTTGCCGTGACATATAAACATCACAAACGAAAACAGCAGATGTCAGTGCCTTGGCCTCTCGGGAAGGGCCGTAGGGTCAGCTACTGCTTTCTCCTCTCCCCCCTTGCTGCCATTTGGAGTGGGTTTCATCAAAGAGCTGTGTCCCAGCCTCCGACATGGCTTCACGGTGGGACTCAGCGTTTGCTCCCTTTATGCCAGCTCTGCTGAGACTCACCCTGGAACCTGGAGCCCTGATCTACACAAGGACTTTGTTTCCAAATAACCCCTTAAGGTCGAATTTCTAAGCGGCATGTCCACACGACCAAGCCCGTTACTTTGAAATAACAGGCTGCGGAATTTGAAATCTGTATTCCCGCTGTTCATCAGGAGTCCCACTAATTCCAAACTCGTAGCTGCTGGGATAGTTATTTCAAAAGAGTGGGCGTGTGGGCGTGCCGGTGCCGCTGTTTCGAAACGACTCCCCAGAGTCGTTCGAGCTCATTACTCCCCAACTAATTCCTTCCTGGGGCTCCGAGTGTGAGGTAGCATGTCCACACTACCGGAGCCTGCCTCGGATTAATTTCAAGGCTTCCCCGTCGTGTGGACACGCCAGTTTGATTTTGTGAAATTGGGAGTGAAGTCAAACTTACTAATTTCAAAATCGTTTCCTAGTGTCGACATGGCCTGACTGCTGGGAGACCCCAGCTCTAAAGCCGGGCTTCCTTCATGCCATGCCGGCAGAGCTCTCTAGGGTTTTTCAGCCAGAAGTCCCTCTTAAGCGGTGGCTGTGGTATACCTAGACCGTTTGATACGGTCTCGCATGATATTCTTATCAATAAACTAGGCAAATACAACTTAGATGGGGCTACTATAAGGTGGGTGCATAACTGGCTGGATAACCATACTCAGAGAGTAGTTATAAATGGTTCACAATCCTGCTGGAAGGGCATAACAAGTGGGGTTCCGTAGGGGTCTGTTTTGGGATCGGTTCTGTTCAATATCTTTATCAACGATTTAGATATTGATATAGAATGTACGCTTATTAAGTTTGCAGATGATACCAAGCTGGGAGGGGTTGCGACTGCTCTGGAGGATAGGGTCTGAGGTAAACAGGATGAAGTTTAATAAGGACAAATGCAAAGTGCTCCACTTAGGAAGGAACAATCAGTTTCGCACATACAGAATGGGAAGCGACTGTCGAGGAAGGAGCATGGCGGAAAGGGCTCTAGGGGTCATAGTGGACCACAAGCTGAATATGAGTCAGCAGTGTGATGCTGTTGCAAAAAAAGCAAACATGATTCTGGGATGCATTAACAGGTGTGTTGTGAGCAAGACACGAGAAGTCGTTCTTCCGCTCTTCTCTGTGCTGGTTAGGCCTCAGTTGGAGTATTGTGTCCAGTTCTGGGCACCACATTCCAAGAAAGATGTGGAGAAATTGGAGAGGGTCCAGAGAAGAGCAACAAGAATGATTAAAGGTCTAGAGAACATGGCCTATGAAGGAAGGAGGAAAGAATTGGGTTTGTTCAGTTTAGAAAAGAGAAGATTGAGGGGGGACATGATAGCAGTTTTCAGGTATCTAAAAGGGTGTCATAAGGAGGAGGGAGAGAACTTGTTCATCTTGGCCTCTGAGGATCGGACAAGCAGCAATGAGTTTAAACTGCAGCAAGGGAGGTTTAAGCTGGACGTTAGGAAAACGTTCCTAACTGTCAGGGTGGTCAAACACTGGAATAAATTGCCCAGGGAGGTTGTGAAATCCCCATCTCTGGAGATATTTAAGAACAGGTTAGATAAATGTCTATCAGGGATGGTCTAGACAGTACTGGGTCCTGCCATGAGGGCAGGGGACTGGACTCAATGACCTCTCGAGGTCCCTTCCAATCCTAGTATTCTATGATACTAAGATTATGCCTACGTGATTCACCACTGCCCTAGTCCACTCAACCTTTCAGCCCACACCCTCTGGGCCATGTCTTCGGTAGGTGCTCACAGCTCTCAGTAATGCATGGGACACCCGGGGTTATTCGTGTTTTGCTTTCGTTTAGGGGCAGGGAAGAAAGTGTCGTTCGTCACAACCCAAGATCCGGGCCCATCATCCGTGTCTTCCACTGAGAGGTGCCTTCCCCTGTCCCCTTCCCCCCTCACTTTCTCTCAC